ATCAGCCCTAAGGGCTGACGCGGAACAAGGCTGAGGGTTGGGCTTGAGTAACTGGGCCAGCTGAGGGTTGGGCCTGAGTAATTGGGCCACTCCAGTACTTGGGCCATCCAGAACAGGAGCCCCCCCAGCTTGGTAGCAACCGTGGGATGGTGCCAAGTTAAAGACTTTGGTCATTCTCGTCAGGGCGGTGTGCGTCCTTCGAGAGGGAGTTACTGACGCTCTATGGGGCGTCCTTCAAGAAGGAAATGACTACAAAGCCTCGTATCGCCGTGGCGCCATGAACCCCAACCTGGTTATAAGCATAAGTTGGCGCCTTGGTAGATAGGATTTGGCGACGCATTGTTTGGCGATGTGAAATGCTTGAGCACGGGCGATTGCTTTTGGTGATAGCTGTAATAAGGTCATTGATGACGGGGATTGGTAGGTGACGGAAGCGAAAAGCTGTCTCTTAAAGACACTTTAAGTTGACTTCTTGATCAATCACCCTCTGGCGGTCGGGACCGAATTTCCTCTTTTTCTGGGCGACTGGCTTGGCTTTGGGATCCACCAACAAACGGTGGCAGCAAACGTCTGGGTTGATACCCGGCATGTCGGAAGGCTTCCATGCGAACAAATCTTTGTTATCCTTGAGCAACTTGATTAACTTGCATTTCATTTCGGGGTCGATGATGGCCCCGATGGTTGTTGTTTGATGATCCGCATCTCCTAATACAACATGTTCCAACGCCCCATCAGGCGTGGGTCTGTCATGTTCCACGCGCGGATCATCTCTGGCATCAAATTCTACCAAAAAACATTGGTCATGCTCCTTTGTCTCCTCGCCTGGATTTCTTTCGGCTGGCGAGGTCACCCTCTGTTTAGGCGCCCTTTCATCATTGAAACTAGCTTTGGCCATTGGCCGCAAGGATATGTTGTAGCAGCTTCGGGCTATCGTCTGGTCTCCCCGCACCGTGGCGACTTTGTTGTCACGGGCAACGAACTTCATTGCCAAGTAGGGGTGTGAGATGCTTGCCTCGAAGGCAGCGAACATCCTTCTACCAAGAATGGCGTTGTAAGCTGATGGGGTGTCGAGCACCAAAAACTGGATGTCTGCGGATCGTGAGGTGGGCGGCGTTCCAAGGGAAAGTCGCAAGGTAATCACTCCCAGTGGCTTTGTGGTGGTAGCATTGAAACCTGAGAGTTCACCTGTAACAGGAGTTAAACTATCAACAGTAAATCCTAACGCTTTAAAGCATGGTAAAAACAAAATGTCGGCTGAGCTGCCGCGGTCAATAAAAACACGATTAACGCCGAAGTTGGCGATTATAGCTTGAATGACGAGTGGATCGTCATGTCCAGGGAGGACATCGCCCAAATCGCTGTTGTCCCAAACAATTTGAGGTCTGGTTGGACCAGGGTTGTTCTTTGTTTTGCTAATGACTTTGCCAGCGACCGCCAGACACTGCTTCAAGTGTTTCTTTCTGGCGTTCGCTGTCTCTCCTCCTCCGCTCAGTCCGCCTGAAATCATGTTTATCACTCTGTGCTTCACCGCGGCTGAGTCTTCATCCACTTCTTCACGCCTCCCTCTGCGGTTTGGGCTTGCTTGCGCTCTGCGACTCCCTGGGGAATCCTCTCTCCTGTCACGGTTGTAGAAGGGTCTAGAGCCAGATTGATTCGTTCTTCTTCTTTCAGGTGATTTGCTGCGCTCACGATATCGCCTTCCTGTTCCAGAAGGGCGTGTGTCGTCTCCTCCTCGCCTCTACGCTGCGCATTTGATGAGTTCATCAATTTCGTCTTTGAGGTGCCTGCACTGCTCAGTGTTATGACCGTTGCTGCGATGGAACTTGCAGTACATGATGTTTTCTTTAGGCGGGTTCTGAGGCTGCTGGGTGCTCTTGGATTCTTCCTTATACTCCGTTTGTAGGACAACATGTGTTTGACGTCCTGATGTGTCGCGCCCAGAAGGGCGGTTTGAATATTTGGCCGGTTTGTTTCCTTTCTTACTTTCTTCCATTTCGTTCTTCTGTTTACTGACTGCCTTTTCTTGACTGTGGGCATCATCAACTCGGCTTCCTTTGTACTCTTCGATTCGCATGTACTCCTGGGCCACCTTCTTGACTTCTTCCAGGTCAGTGATCTCATGGCGGGCGAGCTCGTACGCGAACGCACCCTGTCGCAAGCCCGAAAGAAGTATATGTACCTGTACTTTGGGGTCCAGGCCTTGTACCTGTAGGACCTCCTTATCAAAGCGGTCTAAAAAGGACCTGAGGGACTCGCCTGGCTGCTGGCGTATTTTTTCTAGAGAGTGGACAGATTTTGGCACAGGGCGACTGGTTGCAAAGTGAGACTGAAACTTGCTTGCCAACTCGTCCCATGAAGCGATACTACCAGTTGGTAGGGTTGTGTACCATATTAAAGCTCGCCCCCCAAGTAGCATAGGGAAAGACCTGCACATGAGGAGGTCTGTTTCACCATGGAGAGTCATTGCTGCCTCAAATTTCTGGATCTATTCAAAAGGATCGGCATCTCCAACATATGTGGCGATATTGGAGGGTCCTTTAAAACCAAGGGGTATGGGTGTTAACCGGAGGATATCAATCAGGGGTTTGTTGCGCCCCGACGTATGAGTTGGCGTGACTCGTATATTGTTGTTTCAGGCGGGACGGTCTGTTTGTGGTTGAAGGGCTTCAACAGAGTAGGAGAGGGCCGAGGCGTGATTGAAAGGCTGTTGGGCGACATACGGTTGTTGACCCTGGTTTTGATAGGACACTTGGTGTAGCGGGATGGCCGGATTCTGGGGTTGGGCAGCGTAACCATGGAAAGGAAAACCAGTTGGGTAAAGTTGAGGGAAAAGGGCGTATGGTCCCATATGGAACGGGGTGACCAATGGTGCTCGGTAATCATTGTGCATGGCTACTGGTAGACTTTGGGCTGGTTGTGGGCGATGGGCTCGTGGGACGGGAATGACCGGTGGGGCAATAGTGTGGAAAGGCATTCCAAAACGAACTCCTGGGGGCGGGGGTTGGTCTTGTACCAAGTTTTCCCCTTGCATTTCACGCATAGGTGCGCGATAATTCAACTGTGCTACTCTGGGTTCGACTGCTTGCATTTGTGGACCGACGGATTGTAATACAGGTTGGAGCATCTCGCCGGGGGGTCTCTCGGCTGGGGTTGAATGCATCGATGGCAGAGAATTTGAACGTATTGTTTGTACATGACCGTCAAGAGTAACGGCCCTGGTTTGTTCCGCTCTTCTGGTTGTGACAAGCATGTTTGTTATCAAAACGTAATACACGTCTTGTGGATCTTTGGTAGGAGAATGGAACTAGAAGTTTATAGTTTCCCACAGACGGCGTCAATGTGAGCCCACTATGTACCCTTGAGGGTAATGTTATTATATGGATTACACCACTAGCTGAGGTAAAGACCAGGTTAGAAGGTATAGTTCGAAGAGGTAGCAAGCTGATATCAATGACAGATAAATAACAAGAGTATGACTTGGAAGTAAATGGGCATAACAACAGTACATAAAAGATATCTTCTAGTGTGCCCCTTGAGGGCTATTTATAAGGAAGATGATGCGGGTTGGTGAGGTGGGGGTCAACCCTTCTTGGGGTGCACACCCATGATGGCAGTGTTAGGCGTGGTTGGCGCTGCCACAATGGCAGTGCTGCAACCACTGCACCCGGCGATGTCAGCACTGAACAAAGGGGCAGGTTCCTTTGCAGTGCTTATGGCGACTGCCTTTAGCGGTTAATGTCCCGAAGTGGGACATTTTGGTGTATCTCTTGGACGTGCTGCAGTCTTGGAGATCGTGAGGGTCTACATCAGCCCTAAGGGCTAACGCGAAACAAGGCTGAGGGTTAGGCTTGAGTAACTGGGCCAGCTGAGGGTTGGGTCTGAGTAATTGGGCCACTCCAGTACTTGGGCCATCCAGAACAGAAGGATATTATAATAATCAATTAGTGTTATTATCAATGTTATTACTAATTAATTTCATCGTTAGATCAATTATGTAGATTCAACGGTTATATTTATTTCCATCTTTGTATGATTATGATTCCTCATATTTAATACTTTATATTTTTTTTCACTTTTGTATGGTTATGATTTCTCATATTTAATGCTTTCACATTAAATATGAGAAATCATAATCATACAAAGATGAAAATAAAATAAATATAACCGTTGGATCAACATAATTGATCTAACAATGAAATTAATTAGTAGTAATACTAATTGTTGTTACAATATTCTACCCAAAAAATAATACTGATAACTTATTTCTTTGTTTATCTTACTATTATTTAGTGAAATGACTTGTTAGGAAAATTGACCTACGTGACAAATAAATTTAAACTCAACCTTTTTTTTAATAGTTAATATTTGCGTTGATAAAAAAAACTTCCTATAAGAAATGACAATCTTAAAATCTTATATCCACTCGATTTCCTATTATTTAATGCTTGAACGTTAAAGTTTTCAATGAAAAAAATTCACATATCTCCATTTATATCCACTCGATTTTAATAAGAATTATAAATAATTTACCTATATCGTTTCAAATTCTCCATTTCATAATTTTTCAAGGTCACCTTTTTTTTTTAATTTCCATCTTTATATTTTTTATTATTTTAACAAACCTGTATAAAATTAGAGATTAATATTTCTTATGTTATATAAGATAATTTTATCTTCAATATATATAAAAATATGAGACCTATTTTTTTTTTTCATATAACCCCATATGACACTTTTATACATACAAAAAATAAAATTATCTGTATAACTTAAAAAACATTAATTTCATAAAATTATACTCTAATTTTTCTTATTTGTGTATGGTAATATAAAATTATAAATAAACCCCCAATGATAAAATCTAGAAAACACCTTTTACTCTGAAATCACGGTCACGGTCATTGCGCAGTTGATTGCATTCAAACCAAAATCGTATGGTAATTGTTTGCTTTTACTACTTCATTTTCTTCACTGCTATTAAAGATGCTTTGTGGGTTTTTTCTTTTCCTTCGCTGTCGCTGAAAATCTTGAATCCTCTCGGGTTCTTTTTAATTTTGGAGGTTTTCTCTCTCTATCGATAGAAGAAACAGAAGGTGTCTTTTTTTTTGTTTTTTTTGTTTTACTGAAGGTTGCAGAGTGTGTTGGTTTTGAACTGATTAATGTTCTCATTTCAATTGGAAGCTTGTGTTTAGTACATTATCGTTCATTTGGTAGTTGATAAAAGAATTTGCTTGTTCTTTATCCTCATAATACTGAGAAATCTGTTTCGAGTTTACATTTGTTTGCTGTAATTGTTACTTGGGTAGTGACTGAAAGAAAAACAAAATGTTGGGAAACTTTTTCACTCCAAAATCAAGACTAAAATACTCATCCTGGAGCTGTTTTGGGAATTTTTTTTTTTTTTTTTTTTTTTTAATATTGAGAGTTCTTTATGTGTATGTATGGATGTGACAACATGAAACAGGTCTCCTGCTAGATAATTTATCCTCTTATCAGTGTTTGTTTGTCATAGAAAGATATGTGAATATGAAAATTCCTGAAATTCCTGCAGTATGCTGTATGGGATAGTGGATATATAATAGAAAGATAGAATTTGGCTAATTGGGTTAAATAAGACTGCATATCCTTGACATGGAGATGGGAAACCTATCTCGATTAGTATACAAGAATTAATTTTTAGTTATGACTGCATATCCTTCTCTGAGTGTCTAAAAGAAGATTGATACTATCTTCCTCTGCAAACCCTTTGGTGGCCTTACATAGATCTTGTATACACAATTGGCGCCATCAACTTCTATTGTTCTGTATCGATAATAACTGGTTATCTTTGGCAATTTGTCAAGCTGTGTGGTTATGTTGCTATGCTGTTTTATATGGCTCAACATAGTTTTAAGAGGCTGTTGTTGCTGCACAAGTATATGCTTCAGGCTCTTGATCTAACTGGCAAGTTCTGGTTTATTGGACAAATCACAAACACAATGCTGAAGATTATGATACAGTCTTGATTTCTGGACTCCCTTTCATTGGGTGACTTTTCGGTTGGTCACTGTTGCTTGTGATTGCGTTATATATCTAGGAATTCATTCCTTCTTTAAAAAGTTTTCATACTCTCTTGATTCAGTGACTCTTTTTATCTAATACCATGTGTCCTCACCACTTTACAACTGATGTTATGGATGTTAGTTAATACACTATTTTCATTTGAATGTTTAATTACGGTATACCAACTGGCTATAGGTTTACCATTTCAACAATCATATTGTGAGTAATTTCTTACTTACCACTGTTCTCAGGTCCTAATGATTATAAAAGGATTGTTTCGAAGATATGAAAGATGGAACCCTGTTCATCCAACTTATGGAGCCTTTTGGGGAATGGGTGTGGGCATTGGTTGTGGTGTTGGATGGGGTCCTGGATTTGGCCCTGAAGTGATTGGCTATGTTGGAGCTGGCTGTGGCATTGGATTCAATGTAGGCATCACTCTGGCTGGCTTTGGAGTTGGCCTTCCAGCAAACATTATCTTTGAAGCTCCTTATAATGGTAAACTTCTCTAGTTAAGTGCAGCCATTGATTACTTTCTGAAAGTTTCACTTAATGCATAAAAGTTAAGTTAGAGTTTTTGTATGCATTCTCAAACAGTAGATACAAATGTCATGTGCGTTTAGAATCTAAGATCCCCAGTCTTAAACTCTTGTAAATTACATTTGACTTATTTTAATCCAGCTATTATGGCAACAAGAAGCTCTGTATTGGAGTTAGCACGATCCAATGGTCTTCTTTCTGGTAAACATGTATCAGGGGTTAGCTGGATTAGAGATTTACCTTGTGTCTCTGACTTGCAAAGAGAAGCCAGTGGAAAAATCTTATGCTTTAGGAAAAAGCATTTATCAGTCGATGGAATTGATTTCTTTGATATGAGGAACAGCTTGCCTTTGCTTACTACATCTGCCTGTAAAAGTATACAAGCATTCCATAGCCAGTTGTTCTGCTCTCGTAGAGGTATTATTCTGTTTTAAAAAGTCATAAGCCATCTCTCCTCTACTACCTAGAATTTGTCTTGTATGATTTACTTGCTCTCCGTTTTCATCTTTTGTCTTGTTTTGTTTGTAGCATTATGTTTTTTATGCTTACCTGTATTTCATAGTTCATTTTTCTTCCTCTCATTTGCATAGATTTTAGCGCATTCTTCTGTCTTGTTTGCTAGCTAGAGTAACTTCGAGTCGCAAATTTAAATTTTGTATACAAAATTTATGGTTTGACATTTTGACCTTATGTAGACGACTCAGTTGGAATTATGCTCAATTTCTGAATTGTCATTCTCAAACATCATTTAGTGCCATCCTGAAAATAATGTCATACCACATGTTTAGCACATTATGTAGTTACACACATCTCATATTTCTATGAATTATACCTGATTGACATTTGCTTGCTTCTAGACTTTGAGTAAATAAAGCCCATTCTATAGAATATGAAAGTTTTTTTTTTTTGGTTACAAAAGAAGGTCTCTCTTTGCAAAAGTGCAAAGTTAAGGCTGCATACAAGGATTTCTCACCCCTATCTTTGCAAGTCGGGGTTTCTGATAGGGAGTTATTGTTTTTACAAAAGAGGTCTATATGATCTAGTGCAGGGAGGGGATAGTAGGCAAGAATTACAGGCAAAGCTGCCTGCCTGATACGAAGCTATCCCCAAAGGAACTTGAGCAATGATGGAACTTCTTTAGGGCATAGCTTCCAAATATTTTTCGAACATGTGGGGGATGTGAGTAAAATTATAAATAGAGGTTAACCAGTTTACCAATGAGAATTTCACAAAACTCACCACTATTAAATTTATGCTGTTCATTTTGATGTTATAAAACAATGTTAGGGACTGCTGTCAAAAGTCAAAATGTCTTTCGGAAAATCCTTTTCATATTTAATGAGGTTGAACCCAAGCCAGAGACAAGGCCAAAACCAGAATCTTAAGAAATGCCCCAACTTTCTTGCTAATAGGTTTTTATGATGGCTATACCTAACACTAAGTATAGATTAAAAAATTCACATGGGCAGTAGCTAGAGGTTTTCCATCTCTGAAATCTCTGTTTTCATGAATCATGACTTGTAAAGCTGAGGTTTGTTGAATATCCTAAACTGATACTGCATTTAATTCCAGTTGCTAATATATTTTTTTCAATTTGTCCATTCTTATCCCATCATTCCCCCTGCCCCTGAAAAAAATAATAATAATAATAAAATTCATTTATTTTCCACCACTGTACTTGAGCTAAGGTTGTTGGGAATAACATGTGAAAGTTTTGATTTCTTTAAGATGAATTCTTCCTTTTGAAATATTACAAATTTGAGAACCTTCTGTCAGAGGAGCATGTAGCAGATTATGTCCTCTTAAAGAATCTAGTTTGAGAGAAAGTTGTACAATATGTGCATATGACAAGGGGGTTTCCGGAAGATACTTCCATTACTTTGCTCCATCAATATATAGTTTCGTTACTTGCTATTGTTGAAGGAAGTAAACCTGAAATGTTTGCATCTCTTATTTTGCAGGAAAAGATTGATGACTTCCAACTATCAGCTGTATTTTGTTAGGAGCAAATAGTCAAATTAATTCTTGAAAGGTTTTGGTCATTAGTTCCCTAACGATAGAAATTGTGGTGTATTTTGTTGATTGTCCTCACATTTGGGGAACCTTAGGGACTATTTTGACCAACGAAATACACCAATGAAATGCATGTTAAGCATCTTTGTTGTAATTACCATCATATATGGTGTTTCTTAGGAAAACCTCATCAAATTTTGTAACCAACATATTAAGAGTATATTTGTTGTCGTGAGAAATAAGCATTGCCACCAAATGATGCTAGTTCAATTAGCGCGTGAGAGTTAAGCAGGTGAGAGTGAGAGAGTATATGTTTGATCCTTTCTAGTATCATCTTTGGGAGAGATTTAAATCTTTAATTCTGAATCAACCTCAATCAGGATTGCTTCTCGTAAAAGATATTTGTAATTTATTAAAAAAATAAAAATAAATAAGCATTACCTGCATGTAACTTTTACCTAGCCTAGCCTTTGGTTATCTGTGAACACGTCAATGATACGTGTGGCCATAATTATGATCGGCAGTATCGGGAGAAATTATTGCTAGAAATATAATATAAAAATAAATATTGTTGAGCAATTTATTTATCTAATAATTTGAGTTTTTAGAAGAGTTGGAAGAGTAATATCTTGTCATAGTTTCTAACAACCGATTATCGTCATTGCCATCTTCGTATAAATATTGTGGAAATTTTTAATACAGTCAAGTGGGTCGTGCTTCAAACAAGATAGACTTCTATACGAAGGAGTGTATTAAAAATATAAAATATAAGATAGATTTAAGAAGGAAATAAAAAAACTACGAAAAGAAAAAAATAATAATTAAAGAAGCTAAAACGAGATATAAAAGAAAATAACAAATTTGTCTCTTAAATTAAAAAGAAAAAAAAGAAAGGAACGAGGAATTTTTTTTTTACGATTTTAATTAAGATCTGTCAGCAATCAAATGAGAATCAACAATCAGTCATCACTTTATCGTTTCTTTTTTCCATCCTTTTTCGTTATTGTTCAAATTAATAAATTGTTAAATAAAAAATATATTTGGCAAATTGTCAGCAGACATGTGTTCGTAATGTTTAGACCACCTATTAAAGAAAACATTAACAGCATTAAATACAGGAGTTGACAATGTTAGAATAGTTATTATAATAGTTTAGTGTAAACAATAGAATAGTCTCATATTTTATGGGCTTAGTCCATTAGGTCTTTTAGTCTCTTTAAATAAAAAGTTCTTGTACATTGTAACATATAATTATTCAGTATACAATTATTCTATTATTTAATCTCAAGTTGGTACCAGAGCTATTTGTTCTGGGATCTGCTTCTGCTAAAATCTTAAGCTCACTGCTTGGGTGTTCTTTTTTACTTTGTTGTGTGTCCTTCTGGCAAGTCTTCATTAGTCGTGTGTCCCTTCGGCAGATCCTCTATGTCGTGCGTCCTTCCAGCTTGTTTCTTCAATCGTCAGAACCATCGTCCACTGCCAGAACCACCATTCGTCACTGTTCACGATCATCGAAGCACTGTTCTGACCTCGATTTCAACCGGAACACCTACGATTAGATCCTCCTTTCTCCGACAACCTGTTCTGTGGAAGAACCATCACCAGAGGAGTCCCCACGCGCCTTCACACGCAACTTCTTCTCCCTACGCGTGGTGCTCACTCGCCACCTTTCCCCTGCGCGTGTGCACTGTTCCGACGTCCTTTTTGGTCATTCCCGGATAGAACAACTCAATTTTTTCTCCTCTTTTCAGATCTGTCCTTGGTTCTTTGTAGGTCTCACTTTCGACGCGTGTTTTTTCTTGATTGGCTATCGTTTGTCTCCGTTTACTGCTTTTATATTTTGTTTTAATGGCAACAACGTCTCCTGATCACTCGGAGGTTAACTCTGCTTCTCCTCCTACCAAAACTTTCTCAGGTATCTTCTCTACTAATGTTGGGCCCATTATCTCTTCCAAACTGAAGGGTTCTAATAACTATAAGAATTGAGCCATCTCTTTTCATGTCTGGTTATTTGGACAGGGGCATGAGCGTCATCTCACTGTTCCATCTACTGATATCCCTAAGGCTGAGAAATCTGATTGGGAAAGGATTGATAATCAACTTTTGAGTATTCTTTGGCAGTCTATTAATCCAATTGTTTTGGACATTTTCTATTCTTTTCAGACATGTTATGGAGTGTGTGAGGAAGATAAACACCTCTACACTAATGATATGCAACAGCTTTATTCTGTCATGTCTTAACTTATGAATTTGAGCAAATCATCTGATATTCAGATGGAAACATATATTGGCAAAAGTCGATCTTTGATGCAAGTGTACTTGGACATGTTGCCTTACCCTTCTGATGCTTCTGCATATCGAAAACAGGTGAAATGTCTCTTTATAGTTATCACTCCTTTTGGTCTTCCCGAGAATATGATGCTGTCTGTCACACTATCTTGACTAGTGAGGATCCTAGTTTATCATTGACCTACCAACACCTCTTGAATCTCAACAAGAAACTAATTTGCACTCCAGACTCTTCTCAGGAAGGCTTCTCCTCAGTCTCAGCCCTCCGCTCCAGATACTAGTAATCTCATTACTTGTGTTTCTCATTTTACATCACTTGGTCCTTGGATATTTGACTCAGGTGCTACTGATCATCTCAGTGGTAATAAGGAACTCTTTACATCTCTTACTTATTTTGATCATTTACCTTCTTTTACCCTTACTGATGGAACCAAAGCCCCAGTTCGTGGGTTTGGACAAACTCGTCTAACCTCTACTTTGACCTTGACATATGTTTATAACATTCCTAGCATCCCTTATAACTTAATTTTTGTTAGTAAATTGGTCCACTCCCTCACTTGCACCATTACTTTCTTTAACCATTCTATTTTTGTGCAGGATCTGCGTACTAGGAAGACGATTGGAGTGGGTCGTGAGTCAAAGGGGCTTTACTATCTGGTTGTCCCTCGTCCTTTAGTGGCATGCTCTCTCACAAAATCTCCATAACTTATCCATAGTCGCCTCGATCATCAAAGTCTTTCAAAGTTGCAGAAGATGGTTCCTCTTTTATCCGGTCTTCAGTCTTTAGATTGTGTGTCATGTCAGTAAGGAAAGCATACAGCTTCTCCTTTTCCAGTCGAGTCAATAAATGTCCTGATGCTCCTTTCTCTCTTGTTCAATCAGATATTTGGGGTCCAAGACGTACTTTGTTTGTTTTGGTTTTCGGTATTTTGTTACCTTTATTGATGATTATTCCTGTTGTACCTGGTTATTTTTCATTTATAAAAAGTTTTTTGCTGAGGTTTATACTCAATTTGGTGTTTATATTTTTATTTTACGTAGTGATAATGCTAAGGAATATGTTTCTTTTGACTTTTCTAATTTCTTGGCTACACAAGGTACTTTACATCATACCACTTGTCCTCACACTCTACAACAAAATGGGATAGCTGAACGTAAAAATAGACATCTCATTGAAACTACTCATACCCTTCTTATTCATATGCAGGTTCCTCTTCACTTTTGGGCGGATGTCGTACTCGCCTCTTTTTTTCTCATCAATCGCATGACTTCATCTATGCTCAACAATGACATTCCTCATAATCTATGTTTCTTTTTCTAGATACTCCTCTTTATCCCTTATCTCCACATGTCTTTGGTTGTACTTGTTTTGTTCATGATCTCACTCCTAGTAAGGACAAGTTAACATCCAAAGCCTTTAAGTGTATCTTTCTTGGTTATTCTCGTATTCAAAAGGGTTATCGTTGTTATTCTCTTGATCTTAAGCATTATATTATTTCCGCTGATGTCATTTTTCTTGATCAACAACCCTTTCATTCTATCCCATCTCAGTTGTCACAGGTTGAGCATGTTCTTCCTGTTCCTTTTCTTGACTTGTCTTTACTATCTGCAGGTGACTCTCTCCCAAAGGAAAGACCCCTTGCCTCCATCCCTACAGACCGCCCTTTTCTCACCTATCAGCGTCGTCAAAAAGTGCCTCCTACGGACTTGACCCTGGGTGACTCATCGCCTTCTCCAATTATCTTTTCCTTTATGCCTCCTTCACCAGAGGCTCTTCCCATTGTCCAAAGAAAAGGTATACGTACTACTTGTAACCCTTATCCTTTTTATACATTTTTAAGCTATGACCGTCTTTCTAATTCTCATTACACCTTTGTTTCTAGTCTTTCTTTTGTTTCTATTCCTAAGACCACATGTGAAGCACTTTCCCATCTAGGGTGGCGCCAAGCGATGCTTGATTAGATGACTGCACTTCATTCCAATGGCACTTAAGATCTTGTTCCTGCTCCTTAAAAGAAGTCTATTGTTGGTTGTTGGTAGGTCTTTACTGTCGAGGTTGAACTTAATGGCCATGTTGACCGTCTCAAGGCACGCTTAGTCGCCAAAGGTTTTACTCAAATCTTCGACCTTGACTATAATGACATGTTCTCTCCTGTCGCTAAGATGGCATCTGTCCAAATGTTTCTTGCCCTCGTTGCTATTCGTCACTGGCCACTTCTTCAACTAGACATTAAAAATGCTTTTCTTCATGGTGATTTATAAGAAGAGGTTTACATGAAGCAACCATGTGGGTTTGTTGCTCAGGGGGAGTCTGGGATGGTGTGTAGACATCATAAGTCCTTATATAGCCTCAAGCAGTCTCCTTAGGCATGGTTCAATCATTTTAGTTTTGCCGTTCGGACTTTTGGCTTAATCCGCAGTAAGATCGATCATTTTGTGTTTTATAGGTTCACATTTCCTGACAAATGCATCTATTTGTTAGTCTATGTCGATGACATTATTCTTACTAGAAGTGATCAAGCTGGGATTCACCAGTTAAAACAATATTTGTTCAGTTAATTTCAAACAAAGGATCTTGGTAAGCTTCATTACTTCTTAGGGATTGAAGTGGCACAGTCTAGACATGACATTTCTATCTTTCAAAAGAAATATGACATAGATATCCTAGAGGAGACTGGTATGTTGGGGTGTAAGCTTGTTGATACACCCATGGATCCTACTATCAAATTACTACCAGGGAGAGCCATTATCTGATCCTGGACGTTATCGGAGGTTGATTGGGAAGCTCAATTATCTCAGTGTAACTAGGCCAAACTTTTCTTATGTTGTTAATGTGGCTAGTCAGTTCCTTGACTCTCATTGTGATTCTCATTGGGATGTTGCTGTGAGGATCCTCAGGTACATCAAAGGAGCACCAGGAATAGGCTTATTATATTCAGACAAGGCAAATACAGAAATTTATGGTTATTTAGATGCCGATTGGGCAGAATCACCCTTGGATAGCCACTCTACTTTAGGTTATTGTGTCTTCTTTGGAGGAAACTTGATTTCTTGAAAAAGTAAGAAACAAACTGTTGTTTCCCGTTCTAGTGTAGAGGTCGAGTATCGTGTGATTGGAGTTTCTACTTTCGAGCTAATCTGATTAAAGCAGTTGATTTGGAGCTTCATCTTTGTGAACATAAACAACTCATGACACTCATTTGTGACAATCAAGCTGCGCTACATATATCATCTAATCATGTATTTCATGAGAGAACCAAATATATAAATATCAATTGTCATTTCATTCGATAAAAGATTTAGTCAAGAGGAATCAAAACTGCATTTGTCAACTGCAATGATCAACTCGCGGATGTCTTCACTAAAACTCTTAGGTTGAATACATTTGTAACAAGGTGGATGCTTACAATATATATACACCAGCTTGAGGGGAAGTGTTAGAGTAGTTGTTAGAATAGTTCAATGTATATAATAGAATAGTTTCATATCTTGTGGGCTTAGGCTATTAGGTCTTTTATTCTCTTTAAATAGAGAGCTCTTGTAATTATAGCATACAATTATTTAATATACAATTATTCTATTATTCAATTTCAAGTGACAATGCTAGAGTTGTCAAAGGGGGAAAACAAATAAGTAGCCCTGATGCTGGTAGAACATCAATAGCATATTTGAGATTATAACAAGTGGTTGACAATAGTACTGAAGTTGTTGGGACAAGTTTATTTGAAAGTGGACATCAGGACATGTGTTAACAACAGAAGACCAAATGTAGTAAACAAGAGCCGGTGCTTGATGGTTGTAGAGTGACAATATTTATGTTGACGATGAAAATGTCTAAAGGAATATACTTAGACAGTTAAGACTCATATTGGATCCTTTATTTCTATGTTTTGTTCTTAATAGTGTATTAGTTGTTCCAATCTTTAAATATAATTTGCTATCTGTTTGTCAACTAACCTCAAACAAATATGAACTATCATTATAACATATTTAATTATTTTTATATACTTAATGTCAGCATATATTCTGGCTTCACAAACGCACCTCTGGTTGACACTCCCATGTAACTCATTTTTTTATTATAATATATGCAATATGCATAATTTTTTATATAAAAATAATAATTAAGCATCCCTCTATGAGAACCTACGGATGTTACAAATCCTAAATCAGGAGCTCTGTACCAAATTGATAGGAACAGAGACTTACGAGCAGAGATAACTCTATATTGCCACATGTTCAGTTAGTTACAGGAAATCTCTCATACATATTCCCTTTCACCTCACCACTATTTCTCATGAGTCATTAACCTATTGCCTTTTCCATTATTTTCCTCACATAAGTACTTAGTATTCAGAATTTATTAGAAAGAGATAACTGATAAAAGAAAAGAAAAAAATCTTTCTTGGCCAACAATACAGTAGGGATTTCTACTGGGTAGTCATGAAGTATGAGAGTAAAAATTAAATGAGCCAATCCTGATATCCTACTGCGAAATAAAGGAATTGTGACGCAGCTTTTATCTTCATTATTTTGTAAGAAAAAAGATCCTACCATTTTGCAACATGGGAAACTAGCACAACGTAAATGCACCAATAAATGAACTCCCTTACAACAATGTATGCCAGATGAAACAATAATTTACTTGTTTATTTGACATTTGATTCCTAAAAATCATTTCACCACAGGAATGTACTTGTTTACTTCAATATACAATCATTCTATACATGAAACTAGACTGCCAATATATTGCAGCGAAAAGGGCAAACCCTAGTGTATAATGTTCCTCGACTTTATGATGGGTAGGGGTGAGAGTCGATTTACAAAACCTTACCCTTACATTTTAGTAAAGAGGTTTTTCTTATACTCAAGTCTGTGATGTTCCAATCTCAATGGAACAATCTTACCGGTATTTCAAGACTCGCCCTCCAAAAACAGAAATAGAATAGCATAGCAAACTTCAATCTTGATCTAATCTAACCGAATTGAGAGCAGGCTCGTCACAATTCCCATACCTTGAAGCTGCAAAACCATACGATGCTATAGTTCCCACAAGAACAGCAAGGACTGCAAAAAAGAGCTGAACATTAGCAAGCAATTCACCTCGAACCTCATTCGCTTTTGAATGACATGCGACATTACTATCCTTGAGGTGACAACCAGCTGGTAGCATAGGGCCATAAAGAACTAAGGCAGTCTGATAGAACCAGATTCCTTGCAGTGTTATAGCAATGCCATTACATAAATCGACTGGGAAGCTACTCGGCAAAAGGGCTCCAGCAATTGAAGATAAAATACATAACCCAATCAAGAAGGCAAGGAGCACATGGTAATATCCCTCGAGGCCTTTGTGTGTTGTTGAATGAAAATAGAATAGAAGATACTCTGCACAGAATGCTGTGCTAGCAATCAAACAAAGAGCACCTTCAGGCAAAGGAAGATATCTACAAAGGAAAATCAAATTAGAGGAGGAAAATAAATAACCATAATTTAAGAACAAGTAAAGGCTTTAGGGTTTTTGAATTGTAATTAGCAATTAAACTACATATTCTAATTAGGCTTCATACCCTATAAAAAATACATGATCACTGTATGACCAATAAATACAGATTCAGAAAATGAGAATGGAAAATCTTAAGAGAAGACGAGAGACATATAATGAAATCAGTTTGTTGGACTACACAGCAAAGACTGAGTTATATACATGAAAAGTAATAAATATACCCTAATTACCATAATTACATGATTTCGTTATCCTATAAAATGAATCTAGACAGTATTTACATAATTTCCAGCACTCCTCCTCAAGCTAAAGTATATAGGTCATAAGCACCAAACTTGCTACACATATAATTTATTTCAGGATCTCTCAGAAGCATAGTGAAACATCCGCCAGCTGTTTACTTGAATTAACAAAGTGAGCAGTGATGTCTTCCGATAAGATCGTCTCTCTAATCAAATGACAAAATATCTCAATATATTTGGTCCTGTCATGAAACACCAGATTTGAGACAATAAGGAGTGTAGCTTAATTATCACAAATGAAGTGTCAGGCTGTCAGAAGGACGACATGGCATGGCAGTGGAAACCAAAAACCAGAGTTGAAACATGGTTTTCCAAAAAAATAAATTGCCAACGGGTAGTGGATCCAGCAAGTAGGCACAGAATAGGGTTGCTTCTCATCAAACTCTAGATACCATATTAAGGAAAGAGAAAACAAGAGACATGTGACGAAATCTGAGTGTAAAATTACACTACAAATAGGGAACTATATAGACGAAAGGCAATGAATACAACGATAATAGATATACTAATTACCGTAATTACATGATTTAGCTAGTCTATACAATAAATTTAAACACAATTTACATAATTCATAATAGAAAAGGAGGTAAAAACATAGTTATGAGGCCCCACAAACACCTTTATGGTTTTTCATAGCATCTAATATTTTTTCCCCAAGAGTATGCAGAATAACACTTTGAATAGGTTGAATTAAGGATAATGATAGTGGCTGTGTTAAGAGAGAGAGAGAGAGAGAACGAAGAAGATATAAGCAGTAAGCACTAGATTATAGGAGAGATAACCTGACAAGCAATGTGAAGTCCAATGATATCCAATCCCATCGCCTAAAATAACTCAAAAGGATGATTAGGGAATTCGTTGTCCATTAAAATCTTCATAAAAAGTGATAACCAAAGTACTATGGTAAAATCTTTGGACAACCTTTAGAACTGGCTCATACAAGGGATGTCCAAGATAGCCGTTAGTTAACTATGAACAGCTAGATCAAATAATTAACACTGTTAATAAAAGAACAGATTGATAGAGTGAACTACTAATCAATCTACAGCAAACCAAACACAACTGCACTCTCACATTCATAGGAAACTTTTGTTTCTTATTCTGCTGTCTATGAAAGCTTCATGCAAGGTACATTCTTCCACAAGGATAAAAGGATGCATCTAGGACAGAAACATCAACTCTCATGCCACTATAGGAGAGCTCTCTCGGTGGCTTAGGAATTAATGTATCTAGTCAAAAAACAAAAAGCGATCCCACAGTTAAAGAATAAATTAATGCAGATGTAGATTTTAAAGAAAAACAGTCGGAAAAATAGCTTCTTGACCTGGACAACAAAAAAAAAAATAGAAAGGTAGCTTATGAGGAAGAATGTATGGTCCTCAGAATCTCTGTAAAGCAACATGTTTCACCTTGAGAGTTAAATAGCTAACACCATGAATTTATTGAAGCTTTTACAACTGGACTCATGGGTTTTCACTATTACCAACATCCCTTCCCAATTTATTTACTGATTCAATCAGAATCATTTTTTCTTTTCAAAAAAACTGCACACTTAAAACCCATCTCCATTTGATAGTGCATGATGACGCTACAAATATGTCAGTAAAACACTATAGCTTTATTTTGACTAAATTACATTGCACTAACCATAACCTCTTTGCATATATGCAAGGGTAAAGCTGCGCTTGCCCTTATCTCACCCTCGTTGGTCAGGGTTTCATGGGGACTGGTTTTTTTTTTTTTTTTTTTTTAATTTGCATCAACCACAAAGATGAGGAAATTACTGGGAGAATTTTTATATGTTCCATGGATACTAAGTTGCAACTCCGCCTGTGTGTGCTTGCATGCATGGTCTGTCTCAAGTCAGGATAAAGGAGGGTTGGCGTCAGGTGTAGCGAACCGGCCATAAAAAGCAGCTATATTTATGAGATGAACCCTTATGATTTTTCGTTGGGGCGTACCCTTCATAGCGACGCATTGCATCGGGCCCCGGGTGTAGCGAAAAATGGGCTAGGGCCCTTGCCACAAGGCAAGGCGCTGCATCGGGCCCTGGGTGTAGTGATAAATGAGCTAGGGTCCTTGCCTCAAGGCAAGGCGCCAGGTCTTCACCTGGATTTGGTGAGAAGTATGTCAAGGTCCCAACACGTAGATGGGCGAGCGTGGCGGGCAAGTACAGCCCAGGGGTTAAGGATGTGATTGGGAAGCTGGAACATAGGAACCTTAACGGATAAATTGAGGGAGTTAGCAGATGTTTTTGCTAGAAGTAAAGTGAATATTATTTGCTTGCAGGAAACTAAGTGGGTTGGAGAAAAGGCCAAGGAAGTGGATGGAACTGGTATCAAGTTATGGTACATAGGTATAAACAAGAGTCAAAATGGTGTTGAAATTATGATCGATAAAAGTTTCAGAGATAAAGTTGTTGACGTCAAAAGGAAAGGCGACGGGATTATTCTGGTTAAGCTGGTAGTAGGTGATTTAATGTTGAATATCCTCAGTGTCTATGTACCCAAAGTTGGATTGCAACCAAATGATAAGAGTCAAGTTTGGGAAGACTTGGAGGAGGTTTTGAAGGGGATACCACGAGAGGAGAAATGAAGCAATGAGACTGGAGAAGATATCTTGAATGTTGCACTACCCTACGATTTAATGCTAGCGAACACATTTTTTCGAAAAAGGAAGTCACATCTAATCACATATCATAGTGGCCATAATCGTAGTCAGATTGATTTCTTTTTGGCTAGAAGAGAAGATAGAACTTCTTGTGTCGACTGTAAGGTCTACCCTGGAGAGTTTGTCGCTACGCAACATAAGCTGGTAGTCCTGGAGGTTTGGTTCAACAAAGTACTAACAATGAGGAAGAGGGCCCAGAACCCAAGGATAAGATGGTGGAAGCTTAAGGAGGAAAAAGAGAGAGTTCAATGAAAAAAAGTTGCATGAAGGACCTTGGGAGTTTGATGGAGGAGCAAATGCAATATGAAATGAGGCAAAGTCCTAATGAAGAGAACTTGCAAAAGTTTAGGTTGGCGAGAAAAAATGCAAAGAAAGCAGTGCGCGAAGCTAGAGGCAAGGTTTTCGCCGATTTGTATAAAAATTTTTGGAGCAAGGATGGTGAAATAGGTATATATAAACTTGCAAAAATAAGGGATAAGAAAAGTAAAGACCTCACCCAAGTTAGATGCATCAAGGATGAAAATAAAAAACTTTTGGTGAGAGATAAAGATGTAAATGAAAGATGGATGAACTACTTTAACAAGTTGTTTAATGGCGATGGCGATAAAAGCGAAGTGGACTTGGAGGATGCTTATCATGATTTGAATAGAAGATTTGTGCGCAAAATTAATACACATGAAGTTAAGGAGACTTTAAAGAGGATGAAGACTAATAAACTTTTGGGACCTGATGGTGTCCCTATTGAAGTGTGGAGAGGTCTGGGGGATGTGGCAATAAAATGGTTGACCAATATTTTTAATAAGATTCTTCAGAAAGATAAGATGCCTGATGCATGAAGGAAAAGTATGATTGTGCCTATTTACAAAAACAAGGGAGATATACATAAATGTTCTAACTATAGAGGCATTAAGCTAATGAGCCATAATATGAAGTTCTGGGAGAGAGTTATTGAACATCGCTTGAGGAGAGATACCAAGGTTTCTGTCAATGAAGCATCGATACTCCGAAATTTATTTTCCAACGTATCAGATATGCGTATCGAAAACGTATTGTATCGTATCGGCGAATTAACGATCGTATCGAGAACGTATTAGGAACGTATCGAAAACGCCGTGTCGAAGTCGATGCTTCATAGGTTTCTATATATCAATTTGGATTTATGCCAGGAAGATGTACCATGGAAGCCATTTTCTTGATGAGACAATTAATGGAAAGATATCGAGAAAAGAAGAAGGACTTACATATGGTGTTCATAGATCTTGAGAAAGCATAAGATAGGGTTCCAAGGAAAGTTTTGTGGTGGGTTCTTGAGAAGAAAAAAGTATCATCAAAGTATGTAAAAGTAATCAAGGATATGTATGATGGGGCTACTACATATGTGAAAGCTTGTAATGGAAAATCAAATTATTTTCCTATCACGGTAGGTGTACACCAAGATTCGGCTCGAAGTCCTTATCTCTTTGCCTTAGTTATGGATGAACTAACAAAACATATTCAAGAGGAAGTGCCATGGTATATGCTTTTTGCAGATGATATTGTGCTTATTGATGAGAAAAAAGACGGTATTAATAGAAAACTTAAATTGTGGAGAAGCACGTTGGAATCTAAAGGATTCACGTTAACTCAGAGCAAGACTGAGTAATTGAAGTGCGAGTTTTCTCTGGCAAGAGATGAAGACCAAGATCTCATGCATCTACTTGGTCAAGAGGTACCCAAGAAAGATGCTTTTAGATACCCGGGGTCCATTTTGCAAAAAGGTGGAGAGATTGATGAGGAAGTAAATCATAGAATCAGAGCAGGGTGTATGAAATGGCGTAGTGCATCTGGATTTTTGTATGATCGCAAAATCCCCCTTAAGTTAAAAGGAAAATTCAATAGAACGGCAATAAGGCCTGCAATGCTATATGGAGCTGAATGTTGACCAGCACATAGGCAAGCAACATGAGCATAAAATGGGAGTAACAGAGATGAGGATGTTAAGGTAGATGTGTGGTTATACGAGAATGGATAAGATGAGAAATGAAGATATTCGACGAAAGGTAGGAGTACTACCGGTGGCTGAAAAGATAAGAAATATAGATTGAGGTGGTTTGGGTACGTAATGAGAAGGCCCCTGGATGATCCCGTAACAACAAAAGTTTGTTACCAAGAGCTCAACACAAAGAAAGGTAGAGATAGACCGAAACTTACTTGGGGGAAGGTAGTAAAGCAAGATTTAATGGATTGGGATATTGATTGACGGACGGTGTGCCTTAGAACGAAATGGAGAAAAGCTATAAGCATGGTGGAGGGTTAGACCCGTTGTTATTCCTATGTTTCAGATGGTCCTTTTTTAGTTCTTTTTCCTCTTCATCTCCCCCGTCTTCTTTTTCCCTTCTTTTATCACTTTTATATTTATATATATATATATATATGTATGTGTGTACGTATATAATATATATATTATTACTATTTTATTTTTATTTTTTATCTTTTTTCAACCCTTGCGTATTTTTTATTTGAGTTCATCTACCACCGACCCAAATTAATTTGAGATAAAGGTGTTGTTGATGTTGATGGATACTAAGTTGCGTTTAATCAGCACACAAACAGATACAGAAAGATTTAGGATAATAATAATAAAATAAAATAAAACTATTGCCAAGCAATCCTACCACACATCCACTATTCCACCATCAACATTTTCTGTCCTAATTATCTTCCACGTCCTAGTTTACCGATTGTTTAATTTCCTAAGTAAATAAGAGGAAATAAAATAAAAGGAAAATTTTAACTGTTTCTGAGGATTGGCCTGATTAAATAATGGATACCAACAATTTAAATTTGCATTAGGTGCTGAAGATTGGCCAATGATTTTAAACAAGAAAAGGCCAAGAGCGTAATAATAATATCAAGAAGAAGTGTAATTAACAACTAACCTTGTCCTTTCCGAGAGCAGGGTAGCAACACCGAAGATAAGAAACATTAGAAGCATTCCTGAGTGCTCAAAGTTATTCAAGTATGTGGAGTTCAAGACTCCGCCTAAAACAAACTTGAGCTGGGTTGCAAATAAGAGCTCGATGCACAAGTCAACCAAAGCACCGATTGAAATAACATAGAGCTCCAAGTGCTTGAGCCTCCCATCAAACCCTGGAACAGGATTCCAGACTCGGACTCGAAATGTCATAGGATTTGATACATATCTCACCATAGAGCCCCATATATGCCATGCCCCAACTAGAAGAAATAAGGTCCCTGGCAATGCATGACCCACAAATGATCCCATCTTTCTGTTTTATTTATACCACTCAAGATAAATCTATCTAGTACATGATCAACTGGATCCTTGAATGATTCTTTAGCTGATCTAAGCAGATAGATAATCAACGAAAAACCTCCTCCTTCTAAACCTACCAGCTAATCCTGTTTTGATTAAAAGCAGAGTCAGTTTTCAAATTTCCAATAACAGCCTTTTGGATAAGAATTTAGTATCTCCTCAAAATATCATCAGTCATAGATTCAAAGTTCAAACAACTAAACTATGCTTTACAGCTTCCGTATCAGATATTATGAGCTGAGCTAATGTGTGAGCTATATATATATATATATATTCTTTTTTTTAAATTTTGATATGGTTTAAATTGTTAAAATGTTTTATTTTTTAATTCTTATAATCGAAGTCAACAAGGCATCTGATGGGCCTAACTTTGAGAATGAGTTAGTTAGTTAGGGAATTTTTCTAGAATATTATGTGAGGATAGGATAAATGAAGGGGGAATGTGTGGAGCGGGGTATGCATGTATTGAGTGAATATTGGGGAATTGGGGACCTCTTGAACCCAATTTTATAACACTGAATTTATTGAATCAATGGAGGTATAGCCTCTTTTTACAAACATTAATACAAGAACAAGACACCAAAAGACACCAGCTCACCCTTAGAACCAACAAACCTACATTCCAAGAGATCCCCAATTCTCCAATATTCATTCAATACATGCATACCTCACTCCACACATTCCTCCTCCTTTTATCCTATCCTCACTGGATATTCTAAAAGAATTCCCTAACCAACTAACTCTCTCACTTTTAGGCCCATCAGCATCCTTCCAAAGATTTACTCCATAGCCCTTGATTTTTCCTCCTAAACAAACAAAGGAAGGGGTTTGCTAATCAAGCAATCCTAACCCAATTCCAATTCTGCAGTTCTAGAAATTCCTTGGTATAGACTGATCCTCAAGTCAACTTCAAATTTTCATTTTCAGGTAAAACACAAGTTGAGTCTCTGGGTGCAAATTAACTAAGTAGAAAAATCAAAATTTGTAATAATGAAGTGTCATAAAATCAGCTAAAACAAAGAAAAACAGAGAAAGAAGAAGAAAATCAGGGAGACCCATCTACAACTGGAGAATTTCTCCTCGTATTCACAAACCCAACAAAGTCAAACTAATCTTCTTGTACAAATGACTAAATCTAAAAGTGCATTTCCTTTCTCTTCTTTTGCACACAGAGACAGATTCTATGTGTGTGTGCAAAGAAAGTTGAAAAGTTATTTTATAAGCTCCACATTGGGTGAATAATTAGGTACTTCATAAGGGGAATAAGGGGTTCTAAAGAAAGAAAATAATGATGAAAAGTTAGGTTTTGCTTTACTTACTGTAATAGTCTACTTCGGCATAATAAGCAAACTTTAACTGGTTTGGATGCAGAAAATAGAGTCCTTTCTTCTCTCCCTCTATATTTGCCCAATGATTCAGCTATTCAAAAAAGCTATGTTCTCCCAATAGACACAACAACAGCGTCACTGAATGCAATAAGCAAAAGAGTGTTATGACGAGGGTGGTGGTTGAATACGACTTCTAAGCCCTGTAAAGTAAGTGCAAGACGGAATGGAAGATCTTACTAAATTATTCATTGTCACACTTCTAATGAATATTCGTTGCGCCAATAAATGTTATTAAAATGGGCATAAGTTATTGGGTCAGTGATTTAATTAATGGGTTAGTGATTAAATTATATGATAAGGTGATTATATATAAATTTATAATTTATATTAAAAAATTATAATCATACTTAAATAGCTGAAAAAAATAATATAAATTCTGAATATTTTAATATAAAAAATAATAAATTATACATTATTGTTCAATAAAGGATCAAACAGATATATAATGCTCGTGATACTGGTATTTCAGGTGCAGTAAATGACATCTTTAACTATAAATTAAATCAAAATTCACAATTCTTTGCATAGTGCATAAATGAAATAACATTAGTATTATAGGTGCATAACCTATGTAAAATAATAAGTAACAGATCATTCAAATATATCAATTATGAATTATTATTTTTAAACTTGTTTTTTGGAAATATTTTTTTTTTTAATAAATCGGACCAGGTCATTGGTTTTCACCAAAACTAACCGAGTCACACCTGATATGGTATTTGGCGAATCCAATATGATAACCAGACTAGTCAGATGACTGGTTCACTAGGTTTCCGATCAACTCGATTGATCCGGTCCGATTTTTATCACATTGGTGTCGATTGCTAAAACCAAAAACAAGAAATTATTATTTTTATTATTAATTTATAAATAAATAATTTAAAATTTCTGTATAATATTATTGGAAAATTATTCTCTCAATTTACATAAGATAACTACATCATATTCTTTTTGTTAAATCAAAATAAAAAATATTGCATATCATTATAGAACAGCAAATAACAATAAATCAGAGTTGTAATTATTTGTACATTGTTGGGTCATCACAAAGTCAGAGAAGAACTGTTGAAAATAAGGGAGCAGAATGTTAGAGTCTTCCTCTCTATCACCTATTTTGATAAAGGCAGTATAACACCTCGTATTTCGCAAACGTATATTTACGTATGAAAACTATGGATTAAATGGAAGAATTAGTGAAAATCCTGAAATTATAGCCAAAATACGTAAAAAGAGCAAAATGGTAAATTACCAAGCACGTAAACCTAGGCAAGAAATTTTGAGTAGAAGGTCTCAAATGAAAAAAATAATGCCGGAAATGGATTCAGAACGAAAAATCGAGTGGATAGGCAAGTTTTGCAAAATTTGATGAATAGTGATTTTACCGGTATAAAATATTGCGGTATAATTGTACCGATAAGCGCGAAAATATGATCAATATTTCTAGGAAGTAAAAATATGACGCGAACGAGAAAAATACGTAGGTTATGAATTTGTGGGTTAAATTTGGTGATTTAAGAAATTTAAACGACATGTGAGATCCACTTAAGTGACTTAAGTGGATAAAGAGACTAAGAAATCAGATTTCTCACATTTCTCTCTCCTCCCTTTCTTCTCCCTCACGAGCTCCTTCACCATTAAAGGGGAAAGTGAGCTTTTCAAACACAAACCTTGAGTTAGACCCATTTTTGAGAGAAACTCACAACTACAAAGTTGTTTCCCTTGAGATTGTGAGTGACTTTCATGTAGAGTGCACCTTATGGAGATCATTGTGTGAGGAGATATGCCCATAAATCAACCACTAAATTTATGACATTTTGGTGAAAATTTGGAGATTTTTGTGTTGAACCATTGGTTAGAGATCATTCCTTTGGACCATTGGAAGCTATTGGTGGTAAGTTTTCTCACTCTCGTGGAGTTTTGAGTGAGATCATAAAATTAGTGAGGGTTTTGGTGATGTGTGTTGAGTTATGGTAGTTAGGAGCATTAAATGGTACGTCTCCTTTGGAATTAAATGCTTAGAATGATAAATGATGATGATTGATACAATAAAATTTATGGTGAATTGTGAAATTGTAACTTAGTGAATTTTTTATTTGAATTTCACTACTTTGTGATTTGAGATGATGGTATGATTTAATATTTGAATTGTGGAGCATTGGTATTGGTTAATAATAGGATTGTATGACATGTGTAAGTGTTGAATTGGATTAAAAACCTTGGAAGATGTTTCCTTGAAGAATTCGACCTATTGAGGTCATGTATGATTGATGATGTAAAAATTATATAGTTGAGGTTGTATGTTGGGAAATGGTACTTAAATGGATGGTAGTGTATTGTGATATAGTGGAATTTGAAGGAAGAATGATTGGATGCATTGTGTATGTGGTGATGGACCTATAAGAATGATTAAGGAAAAATAAATGTAAAATAACCCTTTGGCCTAAATGAATATGTTTGGGAATTAGTATTTTGAAGTGAATTGATTGCATTTAAATTGTATTGTTGATCATGGTTGTTTGATCATATAGGTTGCCACTCACGGAACCAATTGAAGAGGAATAAGCTTGGAGCTTACGTGGAAGAGTATTACTCTTGGAGTTGAGGTAAACCTTTAGAACTTGGGTTTTAATCCCTCGTGTGCTCAACCACACCTAGTGGAAGGTTGTGGTTGGATTTTGTGCTTTTGGCATTGTGTGAATATGTATGTTCATGCATTATTGCTTGATTGTGTGACATGCTTGGAGCATGTTGTGTGTGAAATTTTGTGATATCTGGCCAGTAGATTTGTGTGGTTTGAACTTCCGCTGGAGATATCCTTTGGGGATTCCGGTCTGATTTTGCCGTGGGGCCGACTCTGGGAGCGACACCAAGATGATCCAAACGTGGGACTTCCGCTGGATAGGGCTCATGAGGAGTTCCAGTTGAGTTTTGCCATGGGGTCGTCTCATCCATGGGAGAGGCACCAGGAAGCTTCTCGGGAGTTATATGATGGGGTCCTTGAACGAAATCCTTATGTGAATGTTCTTGGATTTGTGCCCAGTTGTTTGTGATTTTGTATGTTATGCATTTTACATGATGTTATTGTTGCACATTGAGTGAGCCATGGGGTGGAGTGATCCTCTAGTACCCTTGGTTTACTGAGATATATTTGTATATATCACCCCGCGTTTGGGGACATCATTTCAGGCTATAGTGAGCATGGAGGAGCTTCGGGCAAGAGGCTCGCTTAGTGGAGGATTCTAGCATGATGTGCATATGGAGAGCATGGCATTTTGGAGGAGCATATTTGATGCACATAGTATTATATTTAGCATTTTGGGCTTAGATCATGAACATATTGCATGTTGAGATTTCATGCTTTTGTGGTGTTCATGATTAGATTCTAAGTCTTTTGTAATTGCTTTACATTTCATGCCTATTGTTTACAATGACTTATTGGTGAGCATGGGACTTGTCCATGGCCACATATTTTGCATTTAGAGGCATTTGGTTACTTGTGATGTAACATGAGCCATATGATGTGTAAATGGCAAAGGATATGGTGAATGATGTAAAATGATACAATGGTAAGGAATATGCATGATGGAAGGGCCTAGAGCCTACATTAAATCTTGTGTAAGTGGTATAATGAGTACTAAGGTGTTAGAAGTAAGTCACATCACCCCTTTTTGTGTTTTAAATGATGATATATGTCATTTTTACAGTAGGGTAATCGATTACCTTGCTTTGGTAATCGATTACCTGAAACAGGGAAGGAAAATCAAGTCTGCATCAGGTATAGGGCGCTCAAGCGCGCCACGTACGAGAAATATTAAAAAATCCCCTGCCCTTGGGCGCTTGTGGATGCTCAAGCGCGAGAAATACCTCGAAAGAGCCAATTTTTCTACCTCTGGGCGCTCAAGCGCTCTCCCCAAAAATAGCACAGACGAAGTTTGGCAAAATTGCCATAACTCGAGTTACAGAGCTTCGATTAGTGTGCGGTTTGAACCCACGTGTTGCTAATGAAGAGAACTATAACATAGTAAGAGATGGGAGACAAAAGGAAAGTGTGGAATTAATCGAGTAATAAGGAAAAGAGTGAATACACTTGTACCGAACATGAATGAAATAAGTTATAAGATTTGTTGGTTTATGGGAACCACTTAGCATCTTTAAATGTAAGTTGTATGGTATTAAGCTATGGCTTGAGTTATGATCATAGTTATTTTAGAGGTACAAACGAGGTTAACAAGAAAAAGTTTTCCCGTAATTACAAATAACTGGTAACTGCGCTTAATACCATATGCAATGATAACATTTCCGGTACGTAACGGGCTATTACAGGCAGCCTCAGCGATGGGGAGAGTGATGGCTTATGGAGTTTAATTCCAAGATAAATAGGCTAGAAAGGGGAGCTAACTAATAATCTAAAGTAGAGTCTGTGTCCACTGGGTCCACCCATCATGAAAAATCAGGGTCACACTAAAGCTTACACTGCTGTCCAACTAGGCCCAATAACAACATATGCCAGAAGCTCAATTCGATGTGATCACAATGAGCTAGTTATAATAATAATATTGGAATATCCATTAACCCGATTAATTTTAAAATACAAAACTAATTAATTAATATTGTCCATAAAATAAAATTTCTAACACTTTTCACATAAAAAATTGTGCCATCACTTTTTTTTAGTGAATAATGAACCTCACCATATCATATATATATGATAGGAAATATTTATCTAATAGAAATTGAGAAAATAGAACTCCAATATTATTTGGAAGAAGTTAATTATGAGGCGAAAGAAATTATAAGCACGATAATCCAGCACACCAAGCGTATTCGGCCTTAGGTCAATTATGAATTAGCACCAGCGTGGTCTCCTGAAAACACTTTTATTTTTTTATTCATTTTTTTTTATATATAAGTTGTGTTAATCGAGTTCATTTCTTATTTTTCACACGCAGTTACAAGGCTGGTTTTACTAATTTTTTAATTTTTTTTTTTTGTGAAATCAGAAACCGGGGGTGGTTCTTGTCATCTTGTCTTACACATGGGCCAATCCTAAATTCCGCGGGCTATTTCATGTTTCCTATGTGAGCATCTTGTCTTATATCCCAGTTTCATCCGGTGGATTTGTTTAACATTAG